GCAAGGAGTAGGAGTCACCATTAAAACAATCCATTTTTCAGGGTGACACATTTTGTATTAAATGTCTTCCAGTTTGTAGGAAAATGTAATGACATTTTCTGGAAGATGTTTTGAAGTTTAATTAAAATGCAGTTTAAAAATGTCTCCCTTGTGCTTTGCACTTATAAATATGAGCGTATCAGGAACCTACACAGAGATGTGAATGTTCTCATCCTGATGTTGGGTAGTTCTGGTTGGGAACTGTGTACATTAATCTTCTGACAAAATAGCAGTGTGCCTCTTTTGCACAACTAGGCCCTGTGGATGAATTCTGTGCCGTGTATTCATAGGAAGAAAATCTGATATTTTAAATTCTCCTCCCTTCCTCTGGGAGGTTGCCGTATACTTCACAAAAAACCCTTGCTTCTTGTACGTACAGAACTGAAAAAGTTCCTATTAAGCCAGTCTGGAAAACAAAGGGCACTCTGGTGAACAGTTGACCATTTAGAGCAGTTAGTCTCCAAGCTTCTTGTTACTGGAAAAAGAATGGCATGACATAAGAGTCTGAAATACTCAAAACTCTGATCCATCTCCTACCTCTGGCAGACATTTTGCTCAACTCGGCTTTTCCGTTGATTCATTCAGAAACTGAAAGAAATTTTAAATTTTGTTCAATGGATATTTACTGAATAGCTCTCTGTACTGATGCTATTATTTCGTGTTGGGTGGTACATGTTGAATGACAAGATTCCTGTCCTTAAGTTCACAAAATAGTTAGGGAAGTAACAGTGGTAACTTGGAAGAAATAGTGCTTCTCTTCAGGAGTTAACCCCAAGACACATGATAATATAATTCATTGAAGTAATACCTTTGGAATCTTAATATCTACCAGTGTTTCATACCTCCTCTGAAATATTCAATGGGGTCCGTAGGAGCAGCTTACCATATAGCAGAGTTTTGCTAACTATATAATAAAATATTTAGTAATAGCCTTTTTCCTAATACCTGCTGGCTTATTAAAGAAAGGGAAGTGGCACACATTTGTAAGAGGCGAAAGATGTATATGATCGGAAGAGAAACCAGAGTTTGAAGTGGCACACATTTGTGATTGGAATGTCTTTTATCCTTTATCTGAGGAAGGAATGAAGGCTTTGCTGGGAATGCTTAGGACTCTCAATGAAAGTACAGATGAACCCTCTCTCAGCTTCAACATCTTATTTCTGTCCATAGCTGATTGTGTTTTTCTGTGGACTTTGTGGTCAAAGGGAAAAATAGCAGTTAAACTGTAAGATACTCTAGAATTACACTCAGATTATCCTAAAGTTAACATCCTGGGATGGTGTACGTATTTCAGAATTCTTTTTTTTTTTTTTTTTGGTATTTCAGAATTTCTTACAAAAGGCATTAACTTGTGTTCTTCAAGAACTAATGTGCATCTGTTAAACCAGATTTCAGTATTTAGTGAAATGAGTATAAGATAAAATTGAAACTATACTTGATTTTGTTCTTGTTGGGTCCATTATGTAGTGTATGATTAGAAAGAGCTTTTTGAATTTTAAAAAGACTGACTCCCTTTGTTCTTGCATGGTAAATGCAGAAAGCTAAATAGTTGATTTGCTTAACCGGTACTGACTGAGAGTAGGTAAGAGAAAATTAAAACTGAGTTCTTAACCATCAAGATGTATGATTATGCTGTCTCCCAAGACAAGCTTCAGGTTCTCCGTATTTCTCAGATTGATGCTGCCTGTATTCCAAACTATTTTTTTGTAATAAGGGAGGGAGATGCCAATATTGACTTTAAATATTTCAGGACCAATATTGTCAACACTGATTTTGATTCATAACTTAATGTAGCCCTTGAATACATCAGTTGCGTTAACAGCACAAACCTTTAGAATATACCTGTTTTACAACGGGTTGTAAGAAAATACAGAGGAAAGGAATAGGGCTTTACAGTTAACTATCACTATTTGTCTTTTGGGGTTGGACACCACGGTGTCCTTAACTGTATATTAGATGTGTAATTAAATACCAAATTTCTGTCTGAATAAAATCGGAGGAGGTTAATAGTGAGTTAATGGATTAGGTTTTATTTTCTTAATTCTAGAATACTTAGGTCAACTCACCTTTATTTGAATTTTTATACTTTATAAACATTACTTAAGACTGAACCATATTCACTTAGACTGTAATTTGCTAAGAGTTTATTTACATTTAAACACTTAGTATCTTAAATTATACATTTCAGTTTTTCTTTCATAGAAAATAATGTCATAAAAATTACAATTTTTTCTTAAAAGATTTTTTTGCTTCCTTCACCTTCCCACTCTATCACTTATCCTATGATTTTAGTCTTTTTTTTTTTTTTTAATGTTTGTTTATTTTTGAGAGAGAGAGAGACAGAGCACGAGCAGGGGAGGGGTAGAGTGAGATGGAGTCACAGAATCTGAACCAGGCTTCAGGCTCTGAGCTGTCAGCACAAAGCCTGATGTGGGGCTCAAACCCAGGGGCCACGAGATCATGACCTGAGCCAAAGTTGGATGCTCAGGCTCCAACTGACTGAGTCACTTAGGTGCCCCTATTTTAGTCTTTATCATTGCTAGAAGACCTAGGGTATGACTCTAAAGGCAATAATTAATAATGGTTATCAATGTATTAATAATGTTTGGTGAGACTTGATAACCATAAATTCCCAAGTTCCCTCTTCCTTCTTTTCTTTTTAGGAATGGGCTGTTTGTGAAGAAAAAGGTAAAGATGACCTGAATCTGATACTTTCTTGCCTTAATGTCCAAGTATTTACCAAGCTAGTGTTTAAAAAGCATATTTTTCAGGGCACCTGGGTGGCTTAGTCAGTTAAGCACCCTCTTGGTTTTGGCTCAAGTAATGATCTCACGGTTTGTGAGTTCAAGTCCTACATCAAGCTCCACACTGATAGCGTGGAGCCTGCTTGGGATTCTCTCTCTCCCTTTTTGCCCCTTCCCTGCTCTCTCTCTCTCTCTCTCAAAATAAATAAATAAACTTAAAAATACAAAAAAATATTTTTCATGTGAACAACTTATAAGGATTTGGTACAATCTTAAGATTTAGAGTTTCAGATGGAGTTCTGCAAATTGTGGCCATAGCTGCTGTTACAGCACTTCAAACTAGTTGCATTATATGGGTTTAGTGTACTGGCCTTCAACTTCTGAATGCTAACAACCATATCCAACAAGTTCATATCCAACAAGATTCTAGATTTTGCTTACTAACATAGGTTCACATTTCTTACCAAAAAATAGTAATGTGGGTCTGTCTTAAAGGCTATGGGACTCAACTGAAAATATGAATAAGTTCAATCTTTGAATATTCCTTCCAGAAACATTATCATAATCATATACAGCCCAGACCAATTTATCCGTGTGTGTGTGTGTGTGTATGTGTGTGTGTGTGTGTGAGAGAGAGAGAGAGAGAGAGAGAGAGGGAGGGAGAGAGAGAGGGAGAGAGAGAGAGAGGGAGAGAGAGAGAGAGAGAGAGAGAGAGAGAGAGAGAGAGAGAGATTCCTTTTTAAAATGTTCAGAGAAGAGGCGCCTGGGTGGCTCAGTTGGCTAAGGGTCTGACTCTTGACTTCAGCTCAGTTGACCATCTCACTGTTTGTGTTTAAGCCCCGCATCAGGCTCTGTACTGACGGTGTGAAGCCTGCTTAGAATTCTCTCTCTCTCTTTCTGTCCCTCCAGCCCTCTCTCTCCCTCTCCAAATAAGTAAAACTTAAAAAAATATATAGAATATTGGTTCCTAGTTTCTTGAATACAGCATTTACTTGTTTCTTGTAAATGTATGCATGTATAATGTACCCACTAGACTGGGAAATTTTGGGGGGTAGTTATAGCATTTGACTTCTTGTTTGCGCCTCCCAAACATCTAATAGATATCTCACAGGATTAGGAGCATAAACAGAATACTTCCTAAATATATGCTTGCTTGATTCATAGTCTTTTTGTTGTGTTGTTTTTATTGATATGTCCTAAGCTATAGACAGTTAAAGAAAAAATTCCAGGGGTGCCTGGGTGGCTCAGTCGGTTGATCGTCTGACTTCTACTCAGGTCATGATCTCACGGTTCGTGGGTTTGAGCCCCACGTTGGGCTCTGTGCTGACAGCTCAGAGCCTAGAGTCTGCTTCAGATTCTGTGTCTCCCTCTCTGTTTGCCTTCCCCCACTCCCGTTCTGTCTGTCTCTCTTTCTCTCTCTCTCAAAATAAATATTAAAAAAAATAAAAACTCCATAGAAGGAAAGATGTTTGTTTTCATCTGCACGTAGAGGTAGGAAAAGTTGGATGATATTCACAGTGGAAAGGGGATTGCATATGGCATTACAAAATGCTGTTGGTGACCAAAGTCCCCGGGACTGTGAGGTATACAACAGAAAAGCAGTCTTCCCCATGAAGGAATTTTTGAGTTGTCACATGTCTCCCAGACATTGGTCCCTTTCCCTTTCTCTGCTAGAATTCTCAAGTAGCTCTTTTATGCTTGCCATTGTTACCAGTAAGAGCAAGCCCTCTCACATTAAACTTGACATTGGTGAAAATTCCCCTGGCCTTAAAGTTCTAATCTGCCTCTCTCCCTTTTTTTCTAGTTCTGGCTGACTCTCTGGACTAAGTTTCAGAGAGTAATTTTTAATCTTTTCTCCTGACTTCTCTCTGCTTTTTTCCTGCCCTCTCTTGTCTTCACTTCAAATTGGATGTATTTCATGAAAGGATGTCTAGGTAGTTCAGCCATTCTGTTGAATTGAACTTAAATACTGGATAAAACACAGTTTAGGTGGTTTTTTAAACTAAAAGCTAATGTGAAAATATTGGAATATGTACCAATATAAACATATTACACATAAGACCATATTCAATACAGTTAAAAAATTACATCATGTTCCTTCTAGTAGAAATCTTAAAGGGCATACATAATTCACCTCCTGACTCATGCTGTAATTTAGATTATATTTTATTAGACATTCTTTACAAATTTAAAATACTGCTATTTTTACATGCACAGAGGAAAATCAGTTTGGATAATTATATTTAGGCATTATTAAAATCAACCACAAAATAGAGACACTTTATTGTGTCATTTATCAACATACTCGATATGTATATCTAAAGTGCATTATGTTACAAAAAATATAGAAATTCAGCAGCACCAAGATACATTTACAAAATAAATACATCAGTTGACAAAATAAATTATGGTAAATGTGATAATAATAATTGGATTAGCCTTGGCAAAAAAATATTCACAATGACCAATGTGCAGTTTCATAGAGCAATGGGGAAGACAGTTTTATTCCAATGCATTTACAGTATTTACAGACAATAAATATTTCTAATACTTTCCATATGTTCACTATTACAGAATCCTGTAATACGTCCTCTGAAGGTCTTTGCTAAAGATTTCAATGCCTCCTGAAAAGAGAAGGAAGGGAAAGAAGAGGAGAAAATAGGTTAATTCTCCTTGGAAAATGAAAAGGCATAAAAAATAAAGAAACATAGAATCACAATCGAAAAGACTCCAGGGTTTCTTATGACTATCCCCAACAGGAGCCACCTGTGGGTACCTTTGCTACAGGCAGGGTTTTTCATATGATCCAAAGGTCAACATGGCACAGAAAGAGAAGAGCTTGCGTTTCTAGTTCTATATTCTCTGTCTGTAAAAAGTGACCCTGGGAGAATTTCCCAAAGCTGCCAATGGGCAAGTTTGGGAAGAGAAGGGACACATCTGAGAGTCTGGAAGTAAGGCTAGGTTCTGCAATCCATCATCAGATACGCCTTGCTAGAAGTTTATTCCCCAGTGCTGCCTTGGGTGATCCAAATGTTGCTTATTCTGTTCAGGTTTACATTTGCCCAATTGTTTGCTAAGATAATGGCTGGTAAGAAAGTAAAGTGTGTGATTTGGAGTAAATGTTGGAAGGACGTGTAATTAAACAGTATGTTTGGTTGACGGTTTGGTGTTATCGGTCATTCCTGTAGCTGTCCTTAAACACTAATCAATGAAACTATTTTTGGATTTTAGTTTGTGAAGTCAAAAGTAAGAATTATTTGACTCTCACTCTTCTGGTTTTTAGAGTTGATCTACAATTAGAAATCAGGAAAGCCTAACCTAAATTAGAGAATAAGAATCAATTGGTTTAAAAGTATAGAATAGCAGTATTTCAGCTCACTCTGTTTATTACTCAGAATAAATTACCACTTGGAATTGACACCTTTTTAAACCCCTTCTAAAACACTGTAGCCACAGTATTTTAAGATGGACTAGCAGCATTTTCTCTGCTTTTCTCTCTCCCTTTCTCTTCTTTTTGTGTAGTCTCTTTCATTACATACATAGTGGTTTCTAAAGAAACAACTATAGAATTGAACTTGATTGGCTGTGCCATTGCATTAACAGCTAGCATGTGGGCAGAGTTTTACATGGCAGACCTATACCGGGGTAAGACCCACAAAAGAGCCAATTCTTAACAAGTTAGGAACTCTACGTGCAGCTTAAAAAAAAGCAAGTTGAGCGTTTAGGGTGTTTTAATGTCTTAAAAAATTTGACCTCTTCACCAATAGTTTTTGACTGGAATGGTAAAATAGCTCCTAATTGTAGAGAAAATAATTTAAGATTAAATTTTAAATAGTGGGTGGATGTGAATGTATGTTGTGAATAAAATCTAAAAGGTGACTGTAGAACTCAATAATTTGTGTGCTGTACCAATTTTAAAATGTTTTTGTACTGAACAGTATCTAGTGAATTGAATTTAAGAATAACACAAGCAAGGAGGAAATGAAGAGTATTTTGAACAATTATGTTCTCAGAAGGAAAGCAAGAGAAAAGGAATACATTAAAGGACCGAGGAGGGGAAACTGGGTGGCTCAATCAGTTAGGTATCTGACTTTAGCTCAGCTCATGATCTCATGGTTTGTGAGTTCAAGCCCCATGTTGGATTCTGTGCTGACGGCTCAGAGCCTGAAGCCTACTTCAGATTCTCTCTCTCTCTCTCTCTCTCTCTCTCTCTCTCTCTCTCTCTCTCTCCCCCTCCCTCCCTCCCCCCCTCCCTCCCTCTCTCTGCCCCTCCCCTCCCCCTGTGCATGCTCTCTCTCAAAAATAAACATTAAAAAATTATTTAAAGAAGGACTAAGGACAGGATCTTTTGATTATATTTCTCCTTGTCCATCCAGTGTGCTTGCTATAAAAGCATGTATTGGAATAGCCAAGTAAAGCATAAAACATGACTTGAAAGTGTATGTGTATGTTTACTCTGTGTGTGTGTGTGTGTGTGTGTGTATGATAATGCTTTAAAGTTTTTTAAATATTTAAAAGCTTTTGTATTATTTTGAAGTTACTATTTATCAAGCAAAATATATAGTCTCAATTAAATAAGTCCTATTGTACCTGGACATCTCATTTGCAACATCAAAAATTCCAAAATGTAATTTCCAACATTTAAACAATGTTATTTCCCACTGGTTCATGGGCAAGGAGCCAGACAGTTTTAGTTCAGTATTTTCTCTTAAGAAATACTACATATATTATAATAAAGTTCACGCTTGCCATTTCATCAGACCTCTCAGGTAACTATCTAATAATGAAAAGAGACTAAAGAGAGGACACTCATAAAAGCTTGGCCGCTTACAAAACTTTAAATAGTTAACCTGAAAGGATTCTATTTGGATTAGAGCATTTGCACGGCCCTATATATTCTCACCAGTACACTCCTAAATTTCCCCAATCTTCCCTGCACCTCGGTTGGGTTGTACTGGGAGACTGCCAACATCTAGCAGCCAAGCAAACAGTGCTTTCGGTGACTGTCCCTCACACCCGGGGGACAGAAAGGAGCAGCAGAATCATTCTCCTTCTTTCAGTCCTAGGTCTGGATTTGATCAGGTCGCTGCCTAATTTTTACTAGTCTCCTTTATCAGGGGGCTAGCTTTGGGCCTAAGAATTGCCGAGTGCTGAATTTCATCAAATTCCCAGATACTTCAAATGTTAAATAAATGAAATCCATAAAAAAGTATTTATACTTTTGTTTTTATAACTCTAGTATATACATGCACAGAGTAAGACAATGGTACAAATAGCTTCTGGCAATAAAGCCCTTGCATTAGCTATAAATACAAGGATCCTTTCTTAAAATACATTATATATGTACTTTGAGCAAGATTCATAGGGTTGGCTACCGATTATAGATCCATTAGATATTTGCAGACTAGGTCATTCACTCTGCTAAAGGTTCCTCTAGTGTCATTAGTCATTAATTACTGAGGCAGTACTATTTGTCTGATATAATTATAATTTTTTCTTAATGATGAGTTTTGTCAACCTAACTCAAAGGGAGAAGTGATGGCAAATAGGTTCAAACTCCTCTCTGCAACATCCCCCGTAATCCCATCTCCACTAGTAAGAGAAAGGCCTGGAGAAGTAACAAGGGACTTTAATTAATGAGATCATTAGTTGCATATGACATATCCTTGTATGGTTTCCCCTTTCTTTCAAACCCCACGGAAGAGCTGTACTGAAAAGTAAAAAGACAAAAAAGATCCTGTTAGTGGAAATGCCTGAATCTTCAAGAGGCGGCACTAACATAGTCCTGACCTAAAGATCCAGAAATGGGGAAATAAACCCAGTTCTGAGGACTACCTATCCCAGTTCGCAGGACTATTCAGGTCCTTCAGCCATGGAATGCCTTGGTTTTCTAGTTTATAAAATGGGATGACTATTTGCTGCTTTTTCACCTCACAGAAACACACATATCCAGATAAACAATCAGCACTAGATCTAAAAGCACTAAAACAGCAAGTTGCACTTTGTTTACTAAGACAAGCATTTAACCCATGTAATCTCATTTAATCTTCAGCCAACCCTACGAGGTTGTCACAGTTATTATCTTCATTTCACAAAGGAGAAAAATGAGTCTGAGAAAGAACATGTAATTTGCCCAAGGTTGTGAACTTTAATAAGTTCAGACCCAAGATTTGAACGTAAGGTATTTGACCCCAAAGTCAGTGATTGCAATTACCACCTGCACTTGTGAGCCAAGGATGAACAAGCCATGTACATGTGAAGCTTTATTATTCCTACTGAAACACCCTAGAAAGTGGTTTCAACTTGCCAGTGGATAAATATATATATGAGAAAAACTTAAGTCCTTCCCAAGTCAACATTTAAAAATTTTGAGAAATCATGATATTTTTCACGAGCTGGTGGAAACCAGAGTTGAATTTAATTAAATGAATTCAGAGTGTGTGTTTAAATTTTTAACATTTGTTTAAGTAAATATAAATTTAAAGTTCAATGAAATGTAATAAATGAAAAATGTGACCGACTCAGAATTGTCTACGGTAAGGCATTATTCTGTAATGTTTGTAGGTCATATCAAAGCCTTCTGTGTTTGCCCCTGAAGTTAATAAAAAAAAAAGTAAGAAATGGAAAATGATCAAGAAAGTTTGCCAAGGTGTGAGAGTAGGGGAATAAATATGCTCCTCCAGTAAATGATGAAGGTGGTCCTTAGCTTCTGAAGCCTGACTCAGAAAAGAAATTCCGTAGTAGAGGAGTGATGGATTGGTGTTGGGGTGTGATGGTGGAGGCAGAGAAATGGGTTATGCAGCCCCGGTGTGTGTTGGGTGTGTGGGGGAGAACACTGTTTGAAGGCAGAAAATATTCTGAGCCATCTTGCTTTTGTAAGCTTTGAAATTGTGGAGCCATTGATAGAAGGACCGAAAGGGAGGACATTCTAGGTTTGTCCAAGCCACAGTGGAAGGGACCCTACACACCCCAGTGGAGAGCACCGAGGAAAGGCTATGGGGCACAGAAGCCATTTACCGTAAATTGAGCTCCGGCGATGTCGCAGAGATGGCACATGGGTAGTCCCCTTCCAGCCCACTCCCAGCCGCACCAGAGTTTAGCCAGGCAGACCGAGTTCGCCGTTTCTTTTTTTCCTGCTCCTTGCGTTTCCCAGGTTTGCCTTTCTTTTTCTTGCCGGGTGTCTTCAGTGGCTGCTCTTTGTATGTCTCCACCTTGTTGGTTTCCTGAGTTAGGTATCTGCCCTCATCGTCCGAGCCAAATCGGACGGGGTGGTTCTTTGTGTTGGGAGCAGGCTTGGAGTTGGGGGAAACCTCCGAGGTAGCTCTGATTTCGGCTGTGTGGATTTCTGCAATCAGGTGGTGGAGGAAGAATCGTCGCCGTAAGTCTTGGATAGATTTCCCCTTGTCATGAAGGAGCTGATGCTCCGACACAGCTCTTTTGCTTTAAGGAAAAAATAGCAGGAGAGGAAGAAAATAATGCAATTTTAGTTTGTCGGTATAGACCTCAAAGACAAGAGGAAAGCCCTTTAGTTTTCTGTTTGGTCCCATATGGAACATGAGCTGGAAGTGCAGCAAGCTTGTAGAGCAGGGAAAAAACAGAGTGGGAAGGGAAGTGTGGGCAGCTAGGAGGCTGCAGCCCCAGATCCCATTTATGCCGCTCTCTAGGTCTGTGACTTTGGCGAGAACATGAACATTCTCTGGCCTCATCAGCCTCTCTCTGTTTAAAAGGAAGGGGTCGGATTCAGAGAGTTTAATGCTCTTCTCAACTTAAAACGTTATGATTCAGTTATTCTCAGCAATGGACAGAAGCCACTGAGGTTCTTTTCAGGTTTTTCAGACTTGTGTGGGGAAAATAAATCCAGAAGTCCTAGCCTAGAAGTGAAAAGGAGGCTGAATTTACTTGAGTACTCACCCAGACACGCATGCATGCGCGTGCGCGCGCACACACACACACACACACACACACACTGTTCCCCTATTAGGAAAATAATAATATTGACTCTCAAAGAACAGCAAGCTGTAAGAATAAAGGCAAACAAAGGCTGAAGATGATAAAGCAGTAAAGCCTGTCTAGGTAACGACCTAAAAGACTGAATTTTAACATGATATTAGATTATAGGCGACCAAGAACCTATATTTGAAAGCCAGTGTCAGAGAGAGAATGCACATTTTTCTGTAGAGTAATGGGTGGTCTCTTTAAAATGGGTTCTTTGTGTTTAAGTTAAGATCATTCGCTTTCTCCCACGCACTGAGTTTTTTTTTAAGTTTATTTATTTTTGAGAGACAGAGAGACAAAGTGTGAGCAGGGGAAGGGCAGAGAGAGAAGGAGACACAGAATCTGAAGCAGGCTCCAGACTCTGAGCTGTCAGCACAGAGCCCGACGCGGGGCTCAAACTCATGAACTGCAAGATCATGACCTGAGCTGAAGTTGGCCACTTAACCAACTGAGCCACCCAGGGGCCCCGAGTTCTTTTTTTTTTTTTTAATTTAGAATTTCAGAGGGGATTATCCTTAGTACTTAATTTTTAAAAATTCACTTTTCTACTTAGTCTCTTTGTCTTAAAAAATATCTCTAGGATCAAATATGAAGTGACTTTTCTGTTTAAACAGCACTCTAATGAAAACGTAGTGGAAAAGAGTAAGCTATTTTTCCACCTTTTAGATGGCATCCTGAATCTTGCTTAAATTGTCCATCCATATATTCTTGTATTATCCTGTGTATGTATTATTGACCATATGCAGGGATCATGTACATTAATCACTCATATCATGCCTGCTTCAACTCTACCTCACCTTACGCCAATTTGTACCACTGTAGAGCTCTTCTAAGTGGTTCATGACAAGTGTCTGAGGGTACTTCACAGGGTGACACTCCATGTATTCTTACCTCTCTGATACACAATATCTGGGCCCCTTATCTGCCTTCATTAGTACAAGTTCTTCAACTCCTCAGAGAAATGTGACAAATTAAAATAGCATTGTCTTCATTTCATAGATGGGGAAGTTGAGGTTCAGAGGGACTAATGACTTGCCCTTGCCCTCACACTGAGAACAGACAGAGCCAAGAATCCAAAAACCAGATCCACTGATTCTGAAACCAAAGACTGCTTTTCAAACTACCTCAATCCTTTCTTCTGTGGAAGCAGAAGTATATGCTGAGGAAACAAGAAGCGAAGGGCAAGGAATAAAAAAGGCTGTGGTGGGACCCACGATCAAGGCAAATGGATAGCAATTTATCAGCTTCCTTGAAGATCAGCCTTACTGTTCCAACAAGTCCACTTTCATCAGAAAAACAAAGAACTAGGATCTCTAGAGTTTGGATTTTTCACAGGGGGAATGAGAGATTTTCTAGTTGTACTGTGATTCAAAGAAGAGCAGGACACGAAAATACAGGCATTATTTCTCTAGACCTTAGAGCCAGCATACCAACTTCCTTTTAGTATTTTAGAGTGTGGACCGACTTTAAGGCATGCAGCTTGTTCAAAAAAGACATGACTTAATGGAAAGGAATTTAACAGGAGCCTGGTTTAAATGAGGCATGAAGGAGCCTCTCTTCCTTTTTGAAGGTGCCACATGTGACTAGATTAAAATTCACTTACTTTATGGCCACAGTTAGTATTCTGGAAACTTTTAATAATATACAAATTTGAGGTTTGGGTGCAATACATTTATACTCTCTAATAACATTTTTAAAGAATGGGGCTGATTGAACTGCATATTTCATAAGTATTGCAGTTTAATAAGTATCTTTTAGCAAAATGTCACATTAAAAGAAGTTCTTAACCAGTGATCATTTATAGTATCGGGGGCTTTTAGTTCTTTCTCAATTCCTGGCAGATAACCACTGCATCTGTATTGCTCTCCAAATGCATAATACAGCCCATTCTAGCTTAACTCAAAGCCAAAACTTTTAATGGTCGGTCTGTTCTAATCAGGCCACCACTGCGTATGCCCCCTCTGCCTGGCATGTATGCCTGTCATCTTGGCCAGCCTGTCAACTGTGAGTCACAGTGCCTTCTTAACCCAAGCACTGCACTTTCCCAGGATGGTTCTCATGAGAAAAGGAGTGATCATTCTATCCTTCTGTTTTATAAAAAGCCTACGAAGATGGCACAACTTTGTCCAGTTTAAAATAGTATATCTCTTGTGATTTACAAAGCTTCTTTCTGCCTCTTAGGAGGACTTGTTAACGTAAACGGAGAAAACACGGATTCTCTTAAGTGCTGACTCTGAAATGTGGTAACACAATTAACAGTTCAAAGACTTCTGCTTTTAAAATATTGTCAAGAATGAATTTCTGATTGGGCAACTGCCCTAAAGGATCAGGAATATAGTAGTATCTTTATCATCAACAAGGAATAAGGTCCATGGAGCGTTCTATTTATTTTTAAAACAAGACATGAACTGACACAAGGGTAAATGACTAGCATGTACAAACTAGATACACATAGGAGGGGAACAATGAATCTACAGAAAGGAGGCTTTCAGTTTAGATAATTCTGAAATATTTAAGTGGCAAGTATGGCCTCAATAATAGCCTATTACAATGTACCTCCGCACACATTCCACCGCACAGTGGTTCACATGACACTTATTACACACCTAACATGGTATGTTTATGGTTTCCTTTGATTGTAAAAAAAAAAAAATTGCAGAAATATGGGTGAGATGCTTACCACGGACAATTCTAAATTCAGCCAAAATACAGTTCTTCTTCTTTAAAGAAAAATCACTCTCAGGAGTTTTCAGAGAAGAGTAAATGTCCAAGAAGCTATCGAGGAACACAGGGAGTAAAGGGAGCGACAGGATTGCCTCTCCCAACACAGAAGCAGCAGGATATGCTTGGGCTGATGCTTAGCTGCTCAGGAAGGAGTCTGGGTTTGAGAAGAAAAGTTCTGTGGTACATGCAAGAGGCAGGGTCCCGGCCTTAGAGTGACGATGACTCATCACAAGTCCCTTCCAACCCAAATGACTCAGCCAAAAGTTATGCTTTTCATTAAATGGAATAGACCCAGTCTGGCTCCCCGGCAAATCAGCCAATTATGTTTTAGGTTTCTGAATTTGCTGGGATTCCCTGTCTAACTTAGACACAAAGTCTGCTACCTGTCCAGAGTCATGTTCATCTGGACAAGAATATCTCTAGGACTCACTTTCCCACTTCCAATGTATTCATACTCCAGTCCCATTAATTAAAATCTTGTGGACTATGACAACTTATAACGGCTTCCTTTGCATGGCTTAGGAAGTGCTATTGCTGTAGTAGGTCCCTGCCAACCCCCCCCCCCCCACAGAAGTTAGTCCCTAGTTAGAAAAAATAGCTAAAGCAGTTTCCTTAATATTTGGTGTTAAGAGTAATTGGGAAGTAATACAATTTGATTATACGTTAACATTTCTTTCAAGAAATAAGGTTGATTTAGTGTAATGGTAGACTAATGTTTTGTCTAGCACACAAAATTTACTGTTATTTGGCACCAGTGCAAAAATAATGACTTGTTTTTGTTTTTTTAACTCCATTTGGCTGTGATAATTTGATGAAACATCTTCATCTACTGATGATTTCAGCCTTCATGAAAAACCATGGCTGTAATATGATGATCTATTAGCCATTAACTATAAAAATGTTTTGTGGTAGTTTTATAACCATCTGCTGAGTGTGAGTGTTTAACTACAATATTATATTTCACCCACAAACAAAACTATAACAGAGTCTCTGGCTGGTAAATGGTTTCTGATGTGTATTCTGCAAGGTGCAACAAAGAAAGAGTTAAAAATAGTCTTTAGGATAACTTAGCACCATTTTTACGTCATACCTGTGGATTTAATCATGGTCCATTTACTGTTTCTCAAAAGAGAAAACAGGTATTTCTCAAGCAACTCTTAAAGAACAAATTGGCTCTGTTCCAAAACAGTATTTCTTGGCCAGTATTTAAGCATGCTTTTAAAAATTCACTCTTCATCTATATTAATATATGGATTTTAAATAATTTCATACAAGTCTCAAAAGGAGCAAAAAGTCTAAAGACAATTTTCAGAAATACATCAGCAAAACACTGATTTGAAGAATACAATACAGCTTTATCTTTAGTACAATGTTCTACACAATTTGCCTTAGGAGATTCATAATAGATTTTCGTTTTGGTGCCAAGGTTCAGACATGTCTAAAGTAATTTCATTTAAGGATTTTCTGTTCTAATAATAATAGACCAAGGGCACATATAAAACAGTTGCCTTTTTGTACACCGTTGGGAATTTACAAGGAAGCAGCATGAACTTGATTGTAAATATTGGATATTGCTATTTTTATTGTTAGTGTAAAAGCTCCTTAATCCCTTCTCCAGAGGCAAACTCTTCTCAGTTTTGAGACTTTATCGTTTTCCCATCCTGAATACTGAGTCTGCAGCTTCCAGATCACCCAAACATGGTATTACACACATTAATGTACTGCTAGGTCCAACAGATTATTAAGATAGTGTTACTCTACTGCTCTTCCAACTTTTCAATCATACAACATGGGAATATTTCTCTGGTGTGCTTGGATGTATGATTATGTTAAAGTCAAAATTATCCTTAAAAGAACCACCAGATGAGAATGCCAAAATGCAAGTTTTCAGTCTACAATGCAAATATTTGACTCCAGATTAAAGAGCTGTTAGCAATAATTCCAAGAAAAAACAAGTTTCCGCACCTAGGATTCATTTTGGAGTCAAGCACTCCAGTTCCTGAACTGTATCAATACTAACGTTGGAGTTGCGCCATTGCAAAGTTGTTACTACTTTATTATATAATATGCTTTCATTATGTAATGTGGTCCATTTTATATGCTTAAAATTATGTCATTCATAATAAAGTTAGATGTAAGCCTTTTGCGCTGCACGCACAAACTGCCACCCACATTCAGTATGTAAATCAAGTGCACACAGACAGACATGTGTACCCTGGCTCCCTCAGCTCCTTCCCGAGTTATCTGTCTCCTGTAACCCTCGGGGTTTCAAAACCTTCCCAGGTCCTGAAAGGAGAAACTTAGTTTTTCTCTTCACTAGAGGCAGATGATTTTTGTCGAAAGGAGATTCTCTGCTCCCTCTTATGGAAACTCCTATAAAATCTGTCTCTTGACTGTATCCCCTTGAGGTTCAACCCATTCTCCCGCTGGGGTTTTAAGGACACGGTCTCAGCCCCGGGCAGGTAGCCGGATCTCCCTGCTTTTTAAGTCGGGCAAGAAGCATCGGTGACCGCTGCGAGCCCTCGGCAGCGCCCCAGCCCGGTGGCCTGTCCCACTGGCCTTCCCAGCCCTCGCCAGGCGCCCAGGGGAGACGGGGGCACTTACAGCCGGCGGCCGAGCTCCTCCACGGAGCGCCCGCAGGAAGGCACCGAGTAGCTGAGCAGGATCACCGCGACGCTCCACTGCTGAACCAGCCTCCGCAGCATCGTACCCTGTGGCTCGCGGGACCTGCAACAGAGGGGAAGGGGGCCCGAGGCGTCAGTCCGGAATCTCCATCTCCCCGCACCACCAGGCTCCCCGTTTTAGCGCCTGCTCCAATAGCCTCTTCGACACCAAGGGCATCTCCCAATTTGCAAAGAAAAAAAAAAAAATAACTTTCTCTGAAGCCTCTCAGCACTTACCGTCCTTTTTCCAAAACCACACAGGCAAAAAAGGCACCAGAAGGGAAAAACGACAACAACAACAAAATCAGAGACGTCCCTCTGAAAGAATGACCACAATGAAATGGTTTTATATAGGCATCAGTGATGCGCAGCGCGTTTACACGTCTTCCCTATCAATGTCTAATCAGTCTGGCCGGCAGTTCTCCTGGGTTCGTGCAGCAGAGCTAAGCCCTTCCTAAAAAGAGAAGAAAGTTTCCCCCTCTGAAGTCGGCGTCTTTGCGAACCAGGCCGTCTCGTTCCAGAGCCACTTGCAGAGACCCACATATATATACATAGCTGTCTGTCTACCTCCTCTGGTGGGCTGGTTGCTTCCGGAAAGTTGATTCCACACACCCTGAGAACAAGTTTCAAGCGCGCGTGTCGTCGATCAGCAGAGCCAGGTGGCAACGAGGGCGGGCGAACGGCGGCGCGGGGGGGAGGCGGCGGCGCGAGCGGCGGGGCAGCGGCGGCCCCGCTTCACGGGCGGGGAGGCATGCCGGCCGCGCGGCGCAGGTTGGAGGCGAGTTGAAAGCCTAGCAGAGGAATGTTCACACGCTCCCAGGCAAACCTGCCGGAGAAGTGAGCGAGTCGCAAAGAGGTGGCGCCCTTGGAGCGCGCGCGGGGCGAACGAGGGCGCGGGCGCGCGGGGGGCGGGGGCGGCGGCGGCCGCCGGAGCGGGCCCGGCGCGGCGCGAGCGAGCAGCGGGGAGCCCTGAGCGGGGAGTGTGCCCGGCGAGCCCCGCGCGCCGCCGGCTCTGCCGCCCCCGGCGCTGCCCCGAGCTCCGCCGAGCCCCACCCGGGAGCGCCCGGCCCGCCGCGCGCCGCGCCGCGCCGGGGCCGGGGGCGTGGGCGGAGCTGCCGGTTCCCGCTGGGTCCGAGCGGCCCCGGACTCCACGGCGGGTCTGCGAGCCGGGGTCCCGGAGCGCGCGCGGGCGGCCGCCTACAGTCCGGGCTCCCGGCGGGACGCGCGCGCCCCGAGGCTGCCGAGGCCGCTGGGGGCGAACGGGCAAGCCGGAGGCCAAGGACCCGGGGCCGGAGAGCACGGGAGCCCGGAATGCTCGGCGGGGAGGTCGCGGGCCTTTGGCCCGTGACTTTAAGGAGCCCTAAGTCGGCCCGGGAGCTCGGGGAGCGAGATGGGAACCCTCCTCACTGGCTCCTTCCTGGGACCCGCTGAGTGGGGAGCATGGGCTGTGGAGGGGGGAGAGCCTTCGCTTAGAAGAGAACCTCTTTTGGAGGGTTCAGACTTGAGGTCGAGATTGCAATTTCTGGCTGTCTCAGAACAGCTGAGGACGTCTGGAGCTGGTCCCAGAGAGCCCGCAGACGTGATGGAGACCCTCTTTGGAACTGTCGAGGGGGACCGACACTCCGAGGGAGCGCGCAAGGCCCTTTCGCCCTCCGACCGCAGCCTCAGCCACCCTTTCCCGGACAGCCTACTCTGTCGCCCCCACCCCACCGTCCCCCGCCCTGTCCCCTGTTACATATTCTGGGACGACTCTATCCGTGGCGCTTCAGCCCGCTGATGAAGCGGAACTACCGCTGTACGCCGCTCTGCCTCGCAGAAGGCCAGGGAAAGCAGGGGGTTCTTCCCAAACTTTTGGGCGGGGAATAAAGACCGCTCTGAATTAATGGGCAGTATCATCTAGGAAAGGATTGCAGCGGATGTGAACGCCGCCCCGCGGGCTCCTCTATCTTTATGAAATGAACGCGGGTAGTTGGGAACCATTCAAGGGATGTTTCTCTTCTAGCTAGACAACCTCACAGATACGTTTTTAATACTCTCTAGAAGGCTAGTACGATTTGGACACTTGAGATGATTGGGAACCTGACCTTTATCAAGCCTGGCATCCTGGCTGATGCTCACAGAGTTGACCAAGCACGGGTGAAATAGCGCCCTCTCCCCGACCCTCGCTCCCTTTTCCCGCTCCTCAGCTGCAGGGAGTTTAGCTCGAAGTTAACTTCAGCTGCCTAGTTTGGGTTGAAGTCACCCCTTCTCACAAGCTCCTTTCTCCCTCATTTGATTACTCCAAACTCCATACTTAAAAAACTTGGCTTCCTCCGACTGGGAAAAAAAAAAAATCTGGGAATTTCCACAATTCCCCTCGTTGAAGAATTTCTAAATGTTAGAGCTGTTTGCATGGCATGAAAAGACAAAGTATCAGCCCTCAGAAATGTCAACCTTTGAACCTCTGACACCTTCTGATTTATAATAAATTCTTTCCAAAAAGAAACAGGAACCTTAATGTAATCGTTAGATCTAAAGAGGGAAATCTATGTAAAAAAAAAAAAAAAAAGTAAATCACAAATGAGCCCTTTAATACTTGCAAGTTGCTTAATATTAAAATGATAATATTTGCTTCCACAATAAAAACCCAAAGGTACTTAGCCAGATTTCAAACTACCCAAGCTTTAAAAAAATCAACCCTCCCCCAATAAAAAGTTAGAACAAAAATCAGATTGACAATATTAAATCATCTATGCTGTGAAGAAATTCATTATACTCTCAGAACATTATAAACTAAAGACTGCCATCAATAGACTGCTTTGATTTATGTTGCTTTTTCTACTAATGAAACAAAATGGACCCCCCCCCCCTCCTTTCTTTTCCCCACACACTTTGCTGGTGTTAATGGCAAAACATCTATCAAATATTTTTAGAATTTCCTCTCCTCCACAAAAAGAGAAAATATAGACACAGGAAAAATAAATAGTCTTTATACACTTGGAATACCAAAGTTCCCTCATAATTTATTACTTCACCTTTTCCTTGATTTACAGTCTTCTCTCCTCTTCTGGCCAAAGGAAGGGGATCTTCTCAGCAGTCTCTTCCAGAAACAATTTTTTGTTGTTGTTCTTCAAAAAAGTAAAATTAAGTCTAAATGATTTAAAAACTTCCTGTAAGGAGGCTTTTCTGCTCCCACTAAAGGCAATTATTAGAAAGCAGGTACCTCTTCTGAGCTGCCCTGTTTATTACGTTGAGTAGAAATTCTCCTCAATACATACTCAGGACCCTGACTTTTAGCCTTTCTGAAAAGGATATCTTCTGACATCATAATCAGCTTCCCAATATAACTGGGTAACCTCTGTGAAAATGCTGAGACCACGTGACTACACAGGAGATGACTCCACACTAGGAGGTTTTTGTCTTTTTTTCTTTTTTGGTGGCGGGGGTGCTGAGGAGTGCCAACAGAGGCTACGTGTTTGCTTAGGCCTTGCTATCACCTAAATGCACCTTAGCAAATAGGAGGATTTGAAGGCCTGCCTTTAATCTGAAGCATTTCCATGTGAAGACAGGTTGGCATTGTGAGATCTACACCTACTCGAATGCCTAGCCCATGAGCAAGCCCCAGACTTCCAGCTTCCTGTCCCCAACTGCAGCATTTTATCCCAATTTTGAGAAGAGGTTTTCTAAAATTTTAAGTACACTTTTACTCCTAAGTTCATGTTAAAATAACCAACTGCTGTATTTCTCCCTGGCTATCTCCTACTGCAATTTAGTAAAAAAAAAAAAAAAAAACATTCATGTTTAGCTTTTTGATCTTTGTCCCTTTTTTCCCCCCGCAGCCCAAAGAGCAAGCAAATAAACACAGTAACCGAAAAGGTACCTATGGCTCTTTAAACAGTTCACCTGGGCTCAGAAATTCCCTTATTACTAAAAAGCATCCCTTCTCTTATGAGGGATAACATTTGCCAATCTGTAGCTCCAAGCTATATTTCCAAAATCCCTGAAAGCAAACACCTAAACTCATCCCCTCTCCTAACTTTTCTTTCTTCACATAGAGAGGTTTGTGAAATTACTTCAAGAAAGATTATCATTTGGTTCTACTAAAATGTGGTCTGAGGCTTGAGAGGAGGTTCTAGCCAGCCGACCTGGCAAGCTGTGGTAGCAATAAAGGGGACGTGATGCCTTTAAATCCCAAGTAGGGCTAGGAAAGGGTGTGTTTCATTACTAAATCTCTTGCAGTTAGATGATAAGGCTCAAACAGAGGCTATCTTCTCCAGGAACAGGCCTGGCTGCCGACATCTGCAGGGACTGCCTCAGGGAGAAGTGCCTAGACACGAATGGGGCTGATGCGATCCTCTTGTTGGAAAAGCGGGTCTCCCACCGTCCTCACCCTTCCCTACTTCTTGGGCAATGTTCACCTTTTCCCAAACAGGACCGGAAAGTTCCGCAGTGAGGCACTTCCCTCCCCTGCTACCCAGGCCATGAGCCATTGTGGGCAAGGAAGGTCTTTAGGAAGGGGGGTCTCTAGGGGCCAGTTCTCCAAGGTCAAGCACTTGTGCACCTCCTGAGCTCAGGACGTCCTAACACTTCCGAGGAGTCTTTCTGGCCCGGGGTGGTGCTCCTGTGATGGGGGGTGGGGTGGCGAGGGGTAGGAACAGAGTCCTGATATCCTGGACTGATGCCTGACAGATGCCCTTGGCTGGGCCGAGTTCTTGGCTCCCTGGAGTAGGCAACTCTGAACTTGTGCGAGACCACAGGGAGAGTCCCACCTGGCTCAGACGACAACCCCTCAACCTGCAACTGATTTTGGGTGGGGCAGTGCCACACAGTCTTCCTGGCAGGGGCCCGGCTCCTCTGGGAGTAGAAGAATTGTCCTTTCTTAACGAGTGAGCAATGCCGTCTATCCGCAAGGCACTGCCCCCGGAAGTCGCTGGGACCTCCCTAACACCGTTCTCTACCCCTGGGCGGCTCTCTTTCTCTCCCCAAAGCAGCACCCGGAGTAGGATGCCCATCCTCTCTGGCACAAAGGCATCCAGCACCCTCACGTAGACCGCCGTTGTGTCTGTCTCGCTTTCAGCTGGTGCTTACGGTGGCTTCGGGGTTCTGCCTGCCCTTGCGGAGATTCGTGGCAGAAGTGAGGCCTCTGGAAAGCGCACAGCAAAGCTGCGCTCTCCCTCTCTGGGCTCTCCCAGCCCGGTTCCTGTGCGCCTGACGCAGCAAGGCGACGCGTGTGTCTCTTAGGGAACGGGTCCAGGGACTTCAAAGGGGCCTGAGCACCTCTGGGCGATCTTTATCGGCCTCCCCGCACCTCCAGCTACAGAAGTAGCTCGCCCGTCGCAGCTACGATCCCCGCGGAGGATGCGGGCTTGGCTCCCGGGGAGCCTAGGCTTGCTGGAAAGGTCAGAGGCCTAGGAGCCCCTGGGCGGTCTGGCTACGTTTCCTGGGCGTGGGGGCTTCTTTCCCTGAGAATCTGGATTCCCGACTGTCGCACAGAATCCATTCTGTCCCGAGTCTTAGCATGGAGGCCTTTCGCGCTCCGCCCCCCGCCGCTGGGTTTTGCGCGCCGTTTAGCTCCCGGGTACGGTGTGAGTCGCCCGCCCAGCCCTCCGCCTTCGTCGCAGGAGGGCCCTGGCTGCAGGCGAAAGGAAACTTCGGGAACAGTGTGACCCGAGGACAGGGTCCGAGGGCGCGAGAGAGCCTCCTCCACGCGAGGCTCTCCCCTCCCTTCTCCCTCCTGGTCAATCTATGACTCAAACTTGACATAAGCCCCTGGCAGACGGTGACGACGAATTCCCAGTGGGGGTGGGGAAGGAGAAGGGTGGGGGCAGATGTACCCCACCCTTCCA